GTCCGGTTTTAGGTTTACGATTATGGTTCGGCTTTAGGGTTGGGGTTCGACCTCAGGGTTAGGGTTACCGGTTTACGATTAGTGGTTAACGGTTAGGGCTGTGGTTAGGGTCAAAGTTAGGGTTTAGTTTAAGGTAAGGGTTTGGGTAAAGTTTAGGGTTATGATAAGGGTTAAGGTTAAGTTTAGGGTTAAGGTTAGGTTTAAGGTTAAGGTTAGGGTTAAGGTTAAGTTTAGGGTTAAGGTTAAGGTTAGAGTTATCCTATCACTATTTACCTCTTTCATTTTCCGCAGGCTGCGCTGTTTTTCGCGGGATTTTTTTCAATTTGTGCCATTAATCTACTTTACTAAATCTTCCCAACTCTTTTTTCTTTTACTTTAATTCTTTCCCGACACCCCAGCATTCGTCCAGCAGCCCTTTCACTTACCCCACCCATATAACTTCCTTTCACACAATTCCCGTAAGACAGGGACCCCGTCGTTTGCCTCCCCATTCCTGGCTACCAACTGCGATCTAACCAAGCTCCTTTGCACACTGGCGTTCTGCTGCAAGTCAATCAGGACAAACCTTGTCATAAATTGGCTTTTTATCTCAAGGCCTCAAATCCTTTCCCTATTGAGCCCAAAAGAAAAATCCGAAGTAGCCTTCTACTGAAGCAGTGGACGTCAGCTAGAGAACTTAATTCTTATAACCGAAATTCTTTGTGAGGAAATGCTGCGTGACCCTGTCGAGCATCGCTGTTATACAACACAGAGCTGCTAATGCGAAAAGGAATGCACTTTTTTTATGAGAAACCGGCCGATAGTGGAGCCGAAAATTTCCTTCGCCAAATCTCTAGGACCCATCTTTCGAGGTAAGCTAAGACAAGGGAACAACCAGTGGTTCGTCCTGTATCCATTTGGATTTTGATTGTTATTTGTGCATACCTGTCCAGCTGAAAACTTTTGTCCTGCAGTTAAAGGGTCATATACTGCACAATCTATTAATGTGCATATTACACGTGAGCTTGGTATGCATTCGGTTTGATAAGCAAACAGCACTCAGGGTTAATACTATGGCAGTTAGACCCCTTCGACTGGGAGATGCGGACCAATGGGTGGCATTAGTAAGTACGCGATGATGAAATATACGCAGAAAAGATACTAGGCTGTTGCGCCTGTTAGGATGCTATCTCGAGCCTTTTATTTTTAATGTGTATGAAGGAACAAAGGTCTAAGGGTGAAAATACCTTTTGCTGGAGAGTTTACAGACATTGTCCCGAAAATGCTAGAAGCAGTGTCTGCCAGTCGGCATTTCCAAGAGGGAGCTTCGCAAAACATGCTGTTACTTTCAGACAGCGGGTTAGAATCGCCAGTCACAACCCCTGACAGGAATCGAGGCTTCATTTCAGGTTTCCATCTTAATGCAAAGTCTCTGACACCGTCTTTATTCTTCCCCACAGCGGTAAATTAGTGTTTATCGTCATCAGTTTCTTTTGTCAGAAGCAGTCTTAGCGTTATTTACGAGTTTGTTTCAGTACAAGTGAGAGGGCCATGTGAAGTGCTACTCGACCTAAATTCAGACCAGGGTAAGATAGATTGAGGTGTGAAAACGCAAACCACACTAGGCGGTCTTAAAAGGTGATTCTCACCCATTTTCTCTCATTTATTTTTAATAGTGAATGAGAGTCAGAAAATGGTTTTCGTTTCGGCGATATTCCAGCATTCTGACAACACAATGTACTCCGAGACATAGCAGCTGTTCGCACCCCTCCGTTGCCAAAGTAGTTCGGTGGCACTGTTCAAATGTTCTTTTGTTCGTTTATCGTCTGTACACAGTCATGTCAGTGCTATTTAAACAAAATGAGACTTCGCGCCTCAGTGCCATTAACCGTATCAGGTATATGCGGCTGAGAGGTAGGGAGGTGACTCTTCCGGCCTATGTATAAGATCAGGTGACGACTGAGTGTTAAATCCAAATATTACCGAAAAATCCGAGGTCTGCCCGAAACGGCAGTCAAACCATGACGTGCCCTCCCGAGGTTGGAAATTTACCGGTAGTCTGATGAGTACTGCACGACAGCTGATATTACATAACCAGCGTCTCTGAAAGCAGTACGTTTTATTCTCCTTCGCCCCCGCTTTCTATCTATCTCTCTAGGGAACTTGGAATCTCATACAGACGCAAATATATAAATCAAAAACGAAAAAATATAAGATGGGACGGCGGTTAAACGCGCAGAGGTACGGTAGGGTTCGAAGAGCATGGTTAAACACCAGAAAGTCATATTTCATTATATGTTTAGACGGAAAAAAACCAAATGTGATCAGATGATGTATGCTAAGGGAATGGAATGTCCGAAATTCTCTTTCAAATTGCACCTCAACGGAAAATAATCCCGAATAAGCAAACTAGCCAAAATAACTGGTGTAACTGCGTATATGCCTAAACGTATGTGGAAAAAGACTAAAAATAGGAGAAACGCTTATATTGTCCTGACGTTTCAAAAACTGATAAGCTTATATAGTCAAGGGCTTGCACCGTGTCGCGCTTCATAACAGTCATGACAATGGCAGCCGCGTTAACTCAACGCTAGCGAAGGGGTGTTCATTTGTGTAGTCAGCGCGACAGAAAAAGAAGGGGGTACAGTTTTCAGCTCAAACGACTGCACTCCGCAAGCGCAATTAAGATGCTGGAGACAACAGACCGCGCCTTCAACTTAGTTGTCGTCTTGCTTTCTAATCGCTCTTACGTTCCTTCTGTGTCTTTTCCTGTCTGCCAAGATAGTGGTTAATGTGGCAGCATTGATGGCCGTGTTTTCCTTAGATCCGGGTTGTGAGGCGGTTATGTTCTTGTCCTTTTCTAGCGTAATCCTCCCGTCTCTGAGACCACGTTTTTTTGCGTCCGTTTTTCCGCTCATTGAGTTGCGCTCGGAGGTTCAAGTAGGCAATGGAGGCAACGATTGAAGGAGGCGTCCCAGTTGTCAGGCCATGATTGTTTCTCCGGCTACGCGGTCATCCCCTCGAGTCAAGATTTCGGAATTCTGAAAGCCAAATGTGTGCCCACAGTTTGAGTAGTGTCCCGTCCCAGGAGACAGTTAGTCAATTCTCCCCACTGTGCTACATGTACTCTAACAAGGGTCCCTAGTCCTTCCTCCGTCTTTCCGATGTAGTTAGCTGCACAGGCTCTTCAGTGGATCCGATAGATAGCGCCTGATGTTTCATTTCTTAACAAGGACCCTTAGATTTTATAATCAGGCGCTGAATGGTTTACTCCGTCTGGTGAGGGACTTCGATTCCCAGCGGTCTTAAGAAACGAACAACTGCCTCAGAGATACCATCAATATATGCAAAAGCTCGTCACGAGATTCTAACTTGGCTGACTTTAACTGTTGGATCCGATGAAGTTGTGGGGATGTTCATTGGCCATCCGGTGGCACTGAAGGTCGTAGATCTCCGAACTTTCGACGTCAGGTTCGTTGCAGTGTTTCTGTCTCCTCGAAGAGAACTCGCTCACAGCTGCGTTTGTAATATGGTGGATGTTTGCTATGATGGCTTGTGGTCATGCAACTGCCTGCGAGGGCTCTAGTCCGAAGCTCAAGGCACAATGCGGTGAGCCTGTTCCGTAGCTCGATCAATGAACGCACCGTGCACATGCATGTATATATATGTTAATATGCACGATACTCAAATTCTTTTCGATCCCTCCATCAGTCCGTTCACTTATGCATGAAAAGCGAATACGATAGTGTTAATACTAGTCATTCTGTCGCTTTTTGATTTCCTGAGAAATTATCAACGAAGTTGGAGTAGTTCAGTTTATTCAAGGTCTATAGGCTCAGACCGAAAATTTTATACATAAATATTTGGGCCCAAGTCCATCAGCCACAGCGGGTAACCGCGTGGTATTCATTAACTGCGAGAGGTAGCTAGTAGTATAATTTAAGGTAAGGTGATACCATATTGGGGGACCCACTGCTGAGCCGAACACCTCGCAGCTGCGCCATGCAGCGGCGAAACATCGGCGAAACACGCGTTTCTGGGCTTTTAGCTAGTGACTGTGCTGTTAGTATGGTTTCACCTTACCCTTCTAGTCATCCTGCTAGTTATGCCTTTAAAGGGATTGTGCAGATTGGGTATGTCGTTTTGTGGAAATGAGGCCGTATACGCCTTACAGATATTCGGTGTGTTTGTTTAGTTTACCATGATTCAGACATTCCTGTGCAACTTGGCAGCCACTGCGCGTGGAAGGGCCTCAATGCGTTTCCCCCTTCCTTTTCTGACATCAATTAAGTCTTGCATCAACACCGTCTGAGCTGTGTCTTTTCGCGACTCACACGATTTCTCTTTGGAATTTGTCGAAGTGCTTAAGTTTCGGATTAGGTCAGGTGTATTTCACACTCACAGTCTTGTATGAATAAGGAGTTTACATTTTTACACTAGTGAAATGTTCGCGCAAGGTGAAAGTGGACTAGAACACCGGGCTAGAAATCGTTAACTGTGGCTAATTTCAGGCAGACGTAAAACATGGTTGTGACGACTCGGACGCGAATTTTGGGGACCGGATACGGTTACATATGGTTTCGCAGCTGGGGTCACGATAGCAGATCGATGCATGGTGCCGAGACTGGACCATGTTCTAGTCCATACACACTTGAAAGTTCGTCTCTCGATACAAGCGTAGATGCGAGTTCCAGGAACTAGTAGATTAGTTGATCAGTTCATCTCTCATCCGCGCCAAAAATGCCACGTCCTAGACGCCTCGATGTCTCACAAATCCGGCAAACGACTATTGCTGAAGCCCTGAGCAGAAATGTCGGAACCTGTATTACGATCCGAGCCGAGGGAGAAGGCAGTAACCAGTGGTCGTCACTAAAAACGCCAGTCTGTGGGTCAGCTGAAAAAATCCTTAGATACCCCCAGCGACGCCGCAGTGACTGGATCAGCGGAAAAACCCTGAAGTTGTCTGATCAGACGTCTCGAGCCAGATCCGCAATGAAAACTCCTTCCGCCAACTTTGGAAGATGACGGCCAAGTCGGCCAGGGATGATCGGAAGCAGTATTGGGCTGAAATAGCGACCTCCATCGAACAAGCCTCGAACGTTGGTGACACTCGAAAACTCTACCAAGTTATCCGCCAAGTTAGCGGTAAGCCCTCTATACTGAGTGTCTCTGTTCGCGACGTTAACGGCGGCTTTATTGCTGACAATTCGGTCAAAGTCGAGATCTGGCGTGAGCACTTCAAGCACCATTTCAACTTCGATACACAACCCACCACGCCCTTTCTCTCCTCTTCAGGGGAGTTCTTCCTCTCTCCCACCTATGCATTGCCTTGCGACCCCTCTCTGAAGGAGAAGTCGTCGATGTCATAAGAAAGCTTCGCAACAATAAGGCACCCGGAGAGGACGGTATAACCGCTGAAATTTTCAAATCTTGTGTCGAAACTCTGGCGCCCTGGCTCCATGAGGTGATTGAACGAGCGTGGAGAGACGAGGTTGTTCATGAAGACTGGGCCTTAGACATCCTTCTGTCTATCCTCAAGAAAGGAGATAAGACGAGATGCGAGAACTACCGCGACATAAGCGTTATCGACGTTGTTACGAAGATCTTCGCTATTGTCCTACTCAGGCGATTCCAGGCTGTATGAGACTTTAGATGTGAACCAACCAAGCCGGATCTTGTGCTGGACGTGGATGCGCGGACCAGGTATTCAAACTAAAGTGCCTTTTCGAATTTAGCCATATCTACCAAAAACCGACGACCGTCTGCTTTTTTGACTTTGCCACCGCGTTCGATTCCTTCATCGTGAGTCCCCATGGAGGATAATGACGCTAGATGGTGTACCGGAAAAAATCATTGCCATGATCAAGGCCTAGTATCGATCAACCATCGCGTGAGTCCTGGTCCGCAACAATCTTACCCAACCGGTCGGTATTCGGTCTGGCGTTCGACAGGGTTGTATCCTGTCGCCCATCTTGTACAACTACACTATTGACTGGATTTTCGGGAGGGTCCTACACGAATGTGACGGTGTTGAGTATGCACCCGGACACCAAGTGACTGATATTGACCATGCTGACGATATCGTTATACCTGCTTCAAGTTTTGGTGATCTACAGTGCATGGTGTCACGGGTGAACGAGGTCGCTAAATCGGTCGGCTTATCCATAAACGCTGGGAATACTAAAGTGTTTTCAAGCTGCATCCCCCACCAGGAGAAGGCACCCCTCGAGATTGATGGCTGTCAACTTGAAGAAGTAGACAGTTTTAAATACATCGGGGTGAGGCTGCTGCCTAATGGACAGAGTAAGGACGACATTGTCTCCCAAATCGATGCTGCCCGCTGGGTTTTCTCAAGCCTTTGGAAATGCCTATCGATCCGACGTGACCTCTCCATCGTCACTAAGATTCGCGTGTACCGTGCATCTGTCCGGTCTGTCCTTCACTACGGTTGTGAATGCTGAGCTTTGCGCGTGGACTATGAGCGAAAATTGGAGGTATTTGACCACCACTGCTTAAGGACTATCATTCGAGTGAATTTCATCGACTCCGTCTCAGATGAGACAGTCCGCACTCGCTGCGACAACATCGCAAGTATAACTCAGGCCATCCAAAAAAGACGACTGAGGTGGTTCGAGCATGTTCTTCGTCGTCCACCTCAGGAGCTCAGTGTAACTGCCCTCGATCCAGCACCCTTGCCCCATTGGAGGCGTCGAAGAGGGGGTCAGTTCAAAACATCTCTCGACACAGTTCGTCAAGACATGGAGGAGGTTCTTTGACCTTTGGTATTCTGTCTCCAGCGTTGGCGAAGGGAATGGGTTGAGCTGTCCAGATCTGCTGCTGCGTTGAGAGGTACAGTTCGTGACATCATCGAGGCCGGTTAGATCAGGCATGATCGCAGCCGTATCAAGTACAAGTAAGTGCAATGGTTACATCTGCCGGCAGGATTGCAATAATTCCATCTCCGCCCGACCATTTAAGATACGACTTTATTAATACTCATTCCAGCCGCGGTTGCACACGTGCACTTAGACAGATCCGTTTAACCAAGGCTCACCGTATCTCCTGCAATGCATTCACGGAAATCTCTGCAGCAAACATGCACAGAACCCTTTGTGAATCATCATTGAATATCAAAAGGACTGACTGGATGACATACACCTGAACCTATACATAGAAACACACTTTTTCATTCGTTTGCCAAAATTACTTATAACTAAATGGAACCCCCAACTTGGCCATTTGTTTCCGTCTTTCTCATCGGCGATATTAAGTTATGTCTGCGTTATGCATTTGTGTGTTGTGTCGCAAAAACGTTCTCAACTCTACGATCCATAAATTTACATGAACATCCAAAACAGAAGGTGACAGAAACTCCCATTTCTAGACGTTATGTCACAAGAAAAGACTGGCAGATAACTCCAACACAAATGGGCTAATGCGAAGTCAGTCAACGTTTGTTGATCAATCATTCTAGCTCTCCAAAACCAGCCGCTGGCAACAGCCTACTTGATTGAATGAAAGGCCATAGCTGTGGCAACAAAAGGCATCTGACAGAAAATAACTTTTTTGCTCAAAGAGGATTTAACGCGTCGATAAATAAGACGTCAAGAAATGTAGCGATGACACGGACGCAAATTTGCGGGCTCATAAATTTGACGCCGTCTCCCAACAATTCGTCCCACTTCTCAGCTTTGAGACTTCACTTGTCCAACTTGTGCCTCTGGCTTTTATTCTAAATAAGATTGTGCATTCGGAAAAATCTCTGTCGCCGTAGAATGAAGTTCTCAGTCAGTAATGAACCAAACGTGCTATGGAAGTGAAGACACTGAAAAAACTTACTTTTAACGGGCTACTGTGCTTGATCTCATACTTCAGTCGTCTCCGAAATGAAAACTATGCAGTTCTTTCAAAACTTTCAAAGGATATGTGCACTCTTATAGTAGCAAAGACTATATTTTTATAATATACGAAGAGTATGTCATTCCGCATAAACTGCTGGCCGTGAGAATTATCTGGCAATTGTGTTCAGCAGCTATCGCAAGGCGATTGCCTTAGGTGAGGTGGCTAGGTTTGGATGGGGCACTGGAGCACGCATGCAAAGATCCATTCTAAAACTTGCCCATTTTATGTCAGACGTACGGAAATATGCAGACATAGACTAACTTGTGAGATATGTATTATATTCGTTTTCAAGAAATGAATGCGGACTTTCAGTCTAAAGTATATCCCGGTCAATAACTGTGATGACTGCATGACTAAATTCCTGACAGGTAGTAAAGAACCCGAGGAAAGTACTCTTGAACCACTCAGCATGTAGAGGAGTACTCAGCCAGCGATAAGGCGGCGAACGCCACAGGCTGAGTAATGCCAACTAAATCCAGTCTGAACCTCACTCTTGTAGTTATCCCTCGTCGTCTGTTTGCTTTTACCCTATGGAGGGTGGTGTGGTGGAGCAGTTTTTTCATGAACCTTTCTTTCCCACTGACCAACAATGTTTTCCGAGTGGTCGACGTGTATAGTCAAGACCATGGAAACGTCCCAATCCCCGATTCGAGTGTTGCAACTCATGTTTACAGTTGAGATTTTAAGCATCCGCATTGCTTGCTAGAAGACGAGGATTTTACAAGGAAGCCTGTGTTGCCTCAGCCGTCCACGTGGAAAGGACTTGTAGATGAGTACAAAACATTCTATCCAATCAATGGCTAGAACACGCGTATATGACTGTCCGCCCACGCAGACAGACGCCCACGCTGGTTCTCTTGCGTGAGGAGTGTGCTCAGAACGGATTGTATATTGCACAGAGGGAAGTTAAGTGTCTGAAAGGAAGTGGCTAAGTCGTTGGATGTCTAGGTAAATGCTGGACGGCACAAATGCCGATCGACGCCCGTCGGGGCAAAGTTGCTGTTAGAGCTGGTTTTCCTTGTGCGTGTTTGGTATGGTCAAGAAAAGAGATAGATCAAGGTTTCGGGGGTGAGAGGGAGGGAAGGGGGAGGGGAGGACTGAGTTGCAGCATTGGGAAAGTAGGCAGTAGAGCCCCGAACTTTCACAAACACATCTGTATCGCTTGAAAGGGCAGATGTCTACTGGGGTAAGTACAAACTGCTGGCGTGAGGGAACAAGATATTTGCAGTTCAGCAAAATGGAGAGTAAAATCCAAATGTATACACAAGCAAAATTATGTGTATGTATATTTATATCACAGAAAATTTTACGATTTTGTCTTGTTACTTTCAGGCCTTCTGACGTTTCAACAGACACAAAGTAGAAAGTAGAGGACAAGGAGACCACGTAAACCCAAAAATCGCTAGATGGAACAGACATGATTCGCTTGCCCTTGCACCACCGTAGACGAAATCTCTAAAGCGCGTAAAACTGGACCATTTATATATACATCTGTAAAGCTTAGGATTCCCGCTTTACTCGCACATAGAGAGGACAGTTGGGGAAAATGACTGACAAGATAATACGCAGTCAAGAAGCGCGACCTTCGCAGTCATGATCGCGCTTCGCCAGCTGCCGCAGAGCTCACGTTTTCACCGGGATTAATAACGTCGAGGGCTACAATTGCCTCAGCTGCGAGAGCGGATTTGGGGGCAGAGGATGAAGAGGGTATTGGCGGCTGCAGTGTTTCAGTTGTGTTCTCTGTGACCGACTTGGGACTCTCAGATTGCGGTTTGCATCGGTCTGTTTGTCCAATCACACCCACATCACCACTGGTAGAAGTCGTGATGGAGTAAAATTTTGGAATCGGCTTCTGCGTGTCTGCCAATGGCACTGAACACTGCTTAGTCAAGCTCTGTTGTTCAAAGGATGGAGATGAAGGCCCTAGTGTCCTCTGCGATCCAGCAGGCGACAGGTTAATGTGATAGGTTCTGTAGGACGTCTCTGCACCGTACATTTTATGAGCCTTCCGGTTTAGTGCGGAAATTAGTTCTGTGGAGACCTGGAATGCTTCTTCAATCTCCTCCTTCCATTGGGTAATCAAAATTTTATCCTGTAAGCAAGGGAATTGAAAGAAACATGTTCCGTTCGTAAGCACAGCATACTGGTAGAGGTATGAAATACAGATTAGCCCCCACAACCGAGGGAGGTTGTCTGCGTTGGCGAATGAATATCAGACCAAGAGTAGGCCATTCATTTATATTCATTATAGTCAACTTATTTTACACCCAATTGCTGCAACCTATATCCGCTTGGTTATGGCTAGCGACTTCCAAAAAGAATTAATTTCCAAGATTGGCAGTACAGAAAGAGAGAGAATTATCCAGGGCATACCTTCGGAAACCTATGAGGAAATGTTCCTTAACAACCGCCCTGTCGATCATTACAGATATAAACTCGCCTCAGTCTCCCTTTTTGATGAACACGG